TCCTCATGGCATGGAGATGGGGGGAAAGTGTCTGTGGACAAAGCGGATCTTGGTGCCCACCACACTCGGCAGCCACCAGCCAGGGGGTATTACCAAGGCCTGGATGGCTGAGGCTGGTCCCACATCACCAGGTCTCTGGTATCTCGGAGAGGGAGTCATGAAGTTAGGTGCCCGTGTGGAGGAGTCCCTCTGCCTCAGAGACAAGCCTTCCTCTCACTTTTTATAGTACATCTCCTCGTTTTCCTTTTGCTGCCCATCTTGATGCTGGTCCCCATCTCTGTGTGCTCCGTGGGTCTGGCTGTCCCCGCTCAGTCCCTCAGCTCACCTGCTCAAAACAAAACACAAGCACAAAGTAAACACAAAGGAAAGACAGCGTTTAGAGGTGTTGAAAACACATCCAACTCCCCTCTTAATGGCAGGCATTTGCCTTCTAACTCTGCCTGCCACCTTTCAAGGAGCCTTTGGTTTATTTGGGTGCTGCCACCAGCGCATTTGGCAGCACAAGGGACGGTGGTCACTGACTGTGGAGGTCACCATCTCATGTTATCCAGCATCATGTTACAGGCAGTTGAGAGACCAACACGCATCCAGGACACCGTTCATCTGGCCTATTTAGGTGTCTACCTTCGGAGGAGAGGAGTGATGCCCCAGAAGTGTCTGTTCCTCTTCACTAAGAGCAGATGAAGTTTAGACAACTCGCTCTGATGTAGATTTGATGCTGCAGCATTTTGCTGAGGGGAGTCCTGACTGTCTCGCATGCTGGTGTGTGCAGCAGCAGTGCCCACAGAGGGGGATGCTGGCTCAGGGTACCATGTCTCTCTGACTGCATTGCTGTGTGGCATCTGGGATAAAGCCCAGCAGCAAGTGCTTGCCCTGTTTCTGGGAACCTGGGCAGTAGTTTCAGGGCACTCTTTGACTGCGGAACACGTTAGTGAGGTGGTGTGGCAGAGATGGAATTGCACACAAATGGGGAGAAAACCATTATGGCCTATCTAGAAAAATTCTTCTTGGGACTTCTGTTGGGAACAGGAGCTCTGGTTACCTCCCTTGTCCCAAGGCAGACTGTTGGAGTCAGGGAAGACATCACCAGCGCTCCTTGAAAACACAGTTGGTAGGAACTGGAGGTTTCTTGGGCATCCATGAAGGAGACAGGGGCACATCCTATATCTAAACTGTCTTTCATTAGATCTGAAAAATAGCATAAATCCAGAAACTGGTTTCCAAGCTAATTCCCAGTACCCAGGCAGTGGAGGGACTGTGCTTGATGCTGCGCACCTGAAAATCACATCAGGCTGATAGTCAAGGGGCATTTAGATGCAGATGCTATACCCTTGTCTTTGTCCTGAAGAAACCAGGTTCTTTCCCACCCATGATACATGCAATGAAGCAGACCATGTTCCACTGCAGAGATCCCTGTTAACCATTCACAGTTTACTTCGACAAACAGGCCAGTAATAATAAGCAGTAGAACAGTTTATTTGTTCTTTCTGGATTGTGAACAATGACTCTATTCCCTGGTGGCACAGTCAGGTTTCCATTACATGAGTAACAAAATCTGCTCTCGCATCAGCTCTCTGCCCATGAGGCTCTCCAGCCACCTTGTCCTACAGTGGACAAGGTGAGGCTGTGGGAAGAACAATAGTCCAACACCCAGAGTCCCACGGAGGGCAGGGTGTGTGGTACATGCACCCTTCTTGCACACTGTACTGCCTATGGCAGTTGTGCAGTCACGTGTGGATGAGATGTACTGGCCCTAAGATGATGTGTCTGTGGGGTCTTGCCTGGGTACTTGCAGGTCTCTCTCTGCCTCTCCAATGCCTGGTGCTGTCCCGTCCCACCTAGGTTTAGTAGAAAACTCAGGTTTTCAACAGTTTACTAGAAATGGGGCTTGGGTGGAAGGATGCTGAGGGTAAGGCAGCTGGATCTCAGGTCTCCTCCTTCCTGGGGGTAGAAACCTGGACTTAGTATGCTTTTATTTTGCTATTCCAGCTGAAGCCCTTACATCACTACAGTGATACTGATATCCCCATTTTGGGGAGCAGTACCTGCTGCACTGGCAGGAGCACCTTTGCAGTGATGTGCTGTCTCTGCCCTGGGATGCTTTGCCAGGATGTGTCAGCCCATCTTGGCATAGTTGAGTCCTTGGAGCTGGTGAGGAAGGGAAGAGGGACTGTGGTCCCTGGGGCACTGTGTGTGAGTGTCCCCCTCACCCCCTCCCCAGCGGATGGAGAGGCAGGCTGCAGTGCCAGGCTGAGAGACGTCTGCTGCTAAATCCCTCCCGGCTCTGGGCAACTCAATTAACCTCTCCGTGCTCCCGTCTCCTCTCCGGTACCGTGAGATAATGATAGCACTTCATAAGGCTGTGGGAGACTGAAGGACAGTGCCCCAGCCTCCTCCTGTTGGGATGAAAATCCCAGCACATGCATTGTGCTGCAGGTGGAGGCTTGCTCTCCCTCCACCTGCAAGCTGTGCTCTAGATGTGCCTGCTCTCCTCTGTCTCCAGCTCCTCGGACTGCCTCCTATAGGGGTGCATATTGCCCATAAGGAAGAAGGGTAGTTCTGGCCTCCAGAGCCATAAGCAATGGCTTGCCCCAGTTGTTCCTTTGGGATGGCACAGAGGTTGCTTTCCTTGCCTGCTGCCCTGCAGTGCTTGCCCTTGGCGTGAGCATCTCCCTGTCCTCCCCCATGGGCTTGTGCATTACAGAGACCTCCTGCAGCCAGAGGAAGCCCTGCCAAATTGAGACAGCACAAGCAGCAGGGAGTGATGCATCTTAGCGTATTCTCTTTAGCAAGCACTTATTCTGTCTGCTCTAAGTCCCATTTTGACCCAGTCATCCTCTCTGGGCAAGCTTGTGTTTAGATTTGCTCTGCAGAGCCAAACCCAGCCTTTTTCTTGCAGAGGAAGGTTCTTGTCATTCCTCCCTGGGGAGGCTGTGGGCTGCAGCCTGTGTCAGAGGGCATTAGCTAGTGGAGTGGGACCATCCCATGAGCAAAGAGCAGAGACAGACACTCCATGGACCTTGCCAGGCTGATCCCCCATGACCCTCCCATCACCCATGTGCCTCCCTCATCTAACTGGAGATGTCAGGGATGAAGAAGAGCAATGGTAAATGACTCAAACACATTCACTAAGGCTCCTGCTGTGTGTTTTCTCTTCTTCCCTTCACATTGCCTATCAGACGAGTCCTTCCCAACAACAGAGAAGAGAAAAGGCATTTTATCAGCAGCCTGAGTTTAATTTCAGCTCATTAAAGCAGGCAATTTGCTAGTTTATTTGCTTTGCAAAGTGTGAATAAAATGACAGCATTAAGGAGATGTAAGAGAGGAAAGAGGGGCTAATCTCCCTTTTTATTAGATTGCCGGGACATGACTGGGGAGTGGAGAAGTGGGTCTTGTTGCTTTGCACAGAAGGCATAATTGTTCATCTTGTTGGCTTCTGCAAGCCTCCTTCCAAGCATCACGCCAACGTTGATGCATGGGGGGATGCGCCTGGGCGTGTGTGCTGCAACATCAGCCAAGCACTGAGCATCCCATGAGGCAGGAAGGGAGCAGGCGAACTCACAGCTGTTCCCGACTCATCTCCCTCTAACAGCAGATAACAGACATCCAGAAGGTTTCTCCTTCCCTTTTCTACCTTTTGCCTTGCCTCTAATCTCCTTTTTCTATTTGTTTCTGCTTCTGAAATCACAGGCTTGATTCTTGCAGGATAGAAGTTGGGAAGGCTCCAGGGAGACATTAATACAGTCTTCCAGTACCTAAAGAGGGCCTCCAAGAAACCTGGAGAAGGACTTTCTACAAGGGCCTGTAGTGACAGGACAAGGGGAATGGCTTTAAACTGACAGAGGGGAGATTTAGATTAGATATTAGGAAGAAGTCCTTTCCTGTGAGGGTGGTGGGACACTGGCACAGGGTGCCCAGAGAAGCTGTGGCTGCCCCATCCCTGGCAGTGCTCAGGCCAGGCTGGACACAGGGGCTTGGAGCAACCTGCTCTGGTGGAAGGTGTCCCTGCCCGTGGCAGGGGGTTGAAACTAGGTGAGCTTTAAGTGCCTTCCACCCAAAACTAGGCCGTGATTCTATGAAATAAAGCAGCCAGTTGGTTGAGGAGCCTTTGCTGACCCTGATCTCCTGTAGCTGAGATGTGGCTCTGGGGAGCAGGGAAGAGACCCCTCTGCCTCCACAGACTGGATAAAAATCAGTGAGAAAACTAGTGTTTTAACCCTCCTGCCTGACTGGTTTGTCTTTGCCCAGTTGTCCTGATATTATTCTCCTGGTAACACAATTGCACACCACTTTTCCCAGTCCTCTGACACTCCACAGATCTGCCTGTAGGGAACAAACCACCTACAACTCTAATGTGAAAAACAATGAGGAAAGTGAAGATTTGAGGTTCCTCTTCACTGACTGAGAAAGAAGCAAAAGAGAGGGATGAAGACAGTGTGGAATAACAATAGCAGTGATTTGAAATGATGAATTTAATCTCAGTCAGAGATATCTTGAACTGATACTCCAGTATTCATTCTAGAGCTCAGATCTGTGCTTTGCCCTGCTAATCCTCAGCCCTGACTGGTGATGTCCTTCCCTCCTACCCATCCCTGCTTCTCCAGCCCAGCTCCCCATCACAACCCACCAGCAAAGACAACGTCCACAAGGCTGCAGCCTGCACTGGGTAAGCAGCACCAGCCTCATCCTGGTTGGATGCTGGGCCTCCAAAAACCAGTACAGGCTGGCTGGGAAGTGTTTGCTTCCATCTCTTGAGTAATGGCAACTGAGTAAATGAAACCAGAGCAGCAG